GTTCGTGTATGAGCAATGATCGCTTGACCCAGTTAGCAGTGATCTCTATTGAAAACAGTGTGGCACGGTCTATTTCATTTGATGCCATTCTTGACAAATGGGCGAGTGCAAAGGCACGACATGTAACAATTTAGTGGTAACATTGTTACATAGAGAACAAACTGTTGTTCAGATGTCATAATTTCATATTTCCACTACAGAGAATATATTGAGCACTGGGTGCCGCTGCTGTTACATGTTATTACATTATTATGCATTATTTTTTGTTTTTGATTGAGCTGATCACCTGCTGTACTATGTAACTTAAAATAAAAGTCTGTACTAATAGTCTTATATTTTATAAGTCCATGAATCAATAAGATTTACACAGGTAAGCATTATGAACAAAATCCGGTCGGGGGGGGGGCGCGCCTGTAATGTGTCTGCATACCCCTCAGAAAGTAGGTAGTTGCGCCCCTGGACACAGCAATGGGGTTTAAAAAACCAACAGATGTAAACCCACCGTAAGAATTAAACTGCAGCTATGCTAATGACAGAACAACAGCCCCACTGTGCCTGCATGTTGGTTTTTTTTCTTTTTCTTTTGAGGGGTTGAATATTGTCTCTTCTGTCCAAAGGTCCAGCTATTGCAGGTCCTATAGTGGCATCAATTGGCTTCCCCTGGCTCATGACCCTAATTGGAGCCGTAAATATTATCTTCGCTCCACTATGTATCTTCCTTTTCAATCCACCTCTGCAGGACGAACATTTGGTAAGAGCTCAGAAGAAACACAGTACATGAAAACACCTTTGTTTTACATACATTAACAATCATTTAAAAAGCATATACTTTATACTTTATCCAGAATTTTATATTGCTTGGGTGCTGCTACAGTGTTCACTCATTTGCAATCTGTTATTAACTGTTTTGTCTTGTGTTCCAGTCAATATTAACAGAAAATTAGAAGTTTGGATCTCTGGACTCCACCGATGATTTGTTCAATTGTGCAAGTTTTAACTGGACATGTAAAGGAATTTCCTGTGGTTTCAGCCTACTCAAAATGGCAGCTGGAGTAGTTTCCTCTCAAAGACAAAGACAGCCAGACTCAGTTCTCTATCGTATGAGGATTATCTCCCCATTCAGTAGTTATATCATAACTATGGGATTTATCCCCATCTGGGGTAATTGATGTGGAAAATGAATAATCCAGGCTATAAAAGTCCCACCTTGCACATGCATCCACTGATTCATTGATTTCCACCTGTCGGAGTCGACATGAGAGCAGAAAGAAAAGAGAGAGGAGTTTAGTGTTTTGTCCACTTACCTTCATTTAGGTTGAAGAGCTGCCTTCGTGGGTCCCTCTCAAGGATAGCTAAACGCTGTTTATTCATTTTGACAAAAAGGAGACATGAAACAGTTGAGAGGGGTACCATATCTGTGTATTGCAGCTGTCTGTTTACACACGGTGGAGGCAAAGCAGTTTCCTTGAGCCTGACTTAGTCAGGGGGCAGCGTGCTGCATCCCTCTAGGAGGTCGGGGGGCAGTTCCTGAAGTTCCTGGTTTTCCAGTTCACACCTGCAGAGGCTTCCCATTTCCTCATTACAACAGATTACAACAGATACATCTCCCTCCAGTATAAGTGCCCGGGTAGTAGTCAGTAGGGGGTGAGCAGACTGTGTCATATAGGAACTTCCCTGCTCCTGGGCCCTCTGTTGGGTTGGAAATTATTAGCTGGGCTACTTGGCTCTGGGGCTTGACCTGCCAGCTGATCAGGATCCCGCCCCTCCCATTTCGAGGAGGTGGTCAGGAGTCGATTTACAACATCAATGGCAGGGGCGCGCTGGGTGGGGCTCTGTCGTTGTATGGCTGTGGTTGACAACCCGGGAGGATAAGCTCAGGGTCAGGTTTTGGCTGCCTTGGTGGCTCTGTCAAAGTCCCTCCTGGGCAAGGCGAACTGCCCGAGTAGAAACTGCAAGGTTACTGATGGCTTGTTGGGAAAAATGGATGGAGCCATGGCAGTCCAGACACAGCTGGCAAACACGGGTGCGATACTGTCCCTGTACCAGTGCCATTTGGTTGGCCAGCTAGAGGAGGGGTGTAGTACCGATCTAATAGCTGAACTACAACGTGTCTCCTCACTTCTTCCAAAGCTCATGAGAGAGCATGGTGAAGTGGCTGGCAGTGCTATGGCAAGTGTTTGCTGTCACAGTTCATGCTGCTCAAACTGCCTGTTGAGCCATCTGACTTGTTTGTGCCTGATGCATCCATGATGATTCAGCAGGGCCAGGAAGAGGGCAGGAGCTGCAGCAGCCCAAGCAACCTCAGCCTGCTTGGGGGCAGGAAGATCTGCGGGGGCCGGCTGGACGCAGCACGGTGCGGCAAATCTAAATGGGGCAGAGGACGTGGCAGTGGTCAGGGGCCACCCAAGCCCACGCCTCAGTCCTGACATCACCCCCAGCCTTCCCTTGCCCTTATACGGCATAGGAGGCTTTGTGGGTAGACCCCTGGGTTGTTTCAGCTATGACCCAGGGTTATCATTTACAGTTCCAAAGAGCTCCTCCTCTGACGAGGGTGGCTACATTTTCCAATATTGCAGACTACCAGCACAGGGAGGTCTTGTGTTTGGAAATCTTCACTCTCATGGCAAAGTCAGCTATCAGGGAAGTGAAGGAAGAAGCTCAGCAGACAGTGTTTTATTGCTGCTATTTTCTTGTTCCGAAGCGGGACAGGATGCTCAGGCCTGTCGTAGACCTCAGGCCCCTGAAGTGCAAAACGTTGACCTTGTCCAGGGTCAGTCAGGCTGTCTGGGTAGGCGACTGGTTTGCAACCATCAAGCTCAAGGATGCTTATTTTCAAATCCAAATCTGGGAGGGGCATGGGAGGTACCTCAGGTTTGCCTTTGAGAGAAAAATCCTTGAATTCTGTGTCCTCCCTTTCGGCATCTTACTGGCAATGGATGCAGTCTTGGGGCCTCTGCGGCAGCAGGGTCTCATTATACTGAACTATTAAGATGACTGGCTAATATGTAACAGACAGAGGAGCAGTGCCGCCATCATTTGTCTGTGCTACTGGATCACATTTAGGGCCTGGGGATGTGCATGAATGAGAAAAAGTGCAGTCTCCAGCCTGCTCAGGCCACCCAGTTTCTAGGCATGTGGCTGGATGCTAGAGCTGGGTTGGTGATGCTGTCACAGGAGAGGCAGGTTTCAATCAGGACCTGCTCTCATTTTCAGCTGGGTGCCAGGGTCACGTGGCAGCTGTGTCTCTGCCTGTTGGGTCTTATGGCAGCCTCAGTACAAGTGGTGCCATTGGCTCTTCTACACATGCGTCCAGTCCAGAGGCATCTCTTCAGCCCAGGGCTCTGTCCATAGAGACAACTGCAGGCAGCAGTGCAGCTTTGTACGGACCTCAGGTGGTGGCAGGATCCAGCCAACATCTCGAGGGTGAGTATGCTTGGTCTAGTACTTGGCCAGGTACTCTCTACGGATGTGTCCCTGGAGGGGTGGGCACACTCCATGAGGGCAGGGGCACCAGTGGGGTCTGGAGTGCCCGCTGGAGGGGCCAGCATATCAATGCTTTAGAACTGAGAGCCATAGGGGAGGCCCAAGTCCACCCGGAGGTGGTCGGAGAGATCTGGCACCGCTTCGGCAGAGCAATGGCCGAGGTGGGGAGATAATCTTGATACAATAGAGGACATTCGGTTACATTGTAACCTTGGTTCTCTGAGTGAGGAGATTATCTCCCCAGGCTCAAGGCCGCTCGGTATCCTTTCCAATCAAGGTTAATCAGTGGGTGTATGTGCAAGGTGGATCTTTTATAGCTTGGCACATGCCGGCCACGTACAGTGGTGTGTTTTAAAGATTATTCATTTTCCACATTGATTACCCCAGATGGGGATAATTCCCATAGTTACAACTACTGTGTGGAGAGATAATCCCCACAATCAGAGAACCAAGGTTACATTGTAACTGATCGCTTTCCCACAATCCTCCTGGTTTTTACACTTGGGCCAGTCTTCATTCACCATTGGTCACTGGGGCATGTGACCTACGACATCCTCAGGTCAATATAAGGTGAAACCTTCTATTCTTCATTCTTTCTCCTGGTATCCCAAGGAAGAAGGGGTCTCTGCTGCAGGACAACCTCCCTACCCCTGCTCTGCTTCTCACCTCTGCTGCCCAAAGGAGCTGCAGCCTAGCTCTGATCACCACTTGTGGTCTTCACAAAGCAGACACAAGACCTTCCCTAAGAGGACCCCAGAGTGTGCTGAGGTTTTTGGTTAGGTATGCACCGCTAACCGCAGTGCTAATCTAAAGTAGACAAGTTAGTACCAGCAGCTACGACAAAGTCTGCAGGCTAACTTCACAAGCAACAAGGAGCAACAAAGACAAGTTAGTGCCAAACTGCTGACTCTGTAAGGACCAGAGCATGTGAGCGGATCAGAGCGGGTGAAAATTCCGCTACTCACTCGCAGACCTTTCATTTTGTACTGCTCGTCCGCTCTGCTTGGTTCTGCGCATTCTTCGCTCCGCTCTGCTCCACTCCATCATAAATTTTAGCCCACTCCACTCGCTCACCACTCCACTCAAAAAAACTGCATCGTACTACCCTAACCTATAATCTTCTATTCACAAATAAAACATGAGCTTGGTAGATTCTCTGGGGAAGCCCCCTCCCCGCAGTTAGGGACCGTTCTACACGGTACCGCTGTCGGCAGGGTGGAAATAAGTCAAAGTGTAGAAGAGACAGACCGGGCTAAGCGGCCGACCTCCGGAGGAAGGCTTCTTGCCTCTCCCCGCAGTTAGGGACCGTTCTCCAAGGTACCACTGCTTCTCTTCTCAGTTTCTTTTCTGAAGTACACAGTAAACTCCATAGTTTTGAAAGAAAATAGTGTGGGTGTGCGCAGGTGCAAAGATGCATTCTGGGTGGGGCATGAGCGACCGGAGCGAATTTGGAGCGAGAGATAAGGCTCCGCTCCACCTTTTAAAAAAAATAGCCGCTCCTCGCTCACAAAAAATCCTATCGCTCCCCGCTCTGCTCCAGCTCCAGCTCTGCTCACATGCTCTGGTAAGGACAAAGAGCCACCAGTTTCCTCTTACCTGCATCAGTGGAATACAACACAACAAGGACTGCATTGGAACCAACCCTTCTAAACCAGACTCATCCACAATGGACAACCACCAGCTAACATAGCAGCATGACAGAGCAGTGACTCTCCCTGCGCCATTTGTGGACTGGTAACATAACAGCTGGTCAAAGCATTAGTACAATTTTACAAGCTAAGCAAGACTGTTTAACTTCTGTCAGTGTTTTTGTATTGTTTTGATGTTATTCAATGAGTTTACTGTTATGATGTCATTGTAATCAAGTCTTTGGGTGGTTTGCTCAGCAAAGTTAAATCTATGTTAGTAAGTTTAGATTTCAAACAGACCCAGGGTCTTGCATGCAACTATATATCACTACTAATTGGCACCTTTATACAACATAGGTTGCATATACTCTAATTTCGCTTTTAACATAACTATACTCAGAGATGGAAGTCAGTTACCCCCTTACACGTTTCTTTGGTTCTTTTGTTCTGACCAACCACATGTTAAGAGCAGTGTTGGTGGAAATGCATTACAAAAGCAACAATTACGTAATGTGTTACAGTAATATATTATGTTATTTGGTGACATGAACACATCAGTGTTGCTACATACATTTTAGATTTGCAGAAGTATTTGCCAGATGATACACCCTCCAAAGTTAAAAGCAACCCATCCATTCGTTGTCACAGCATTTCACCTAAATTGAAGAACATGAGGCAAAAAGTCAGAGCATCACTAAAGTCATTAGGACACATCGTGTGGGAACCACGAATGTCAATACAAATCTGGTGTCAATCCATCATGCTGGATTGACACGGACAAAGTGCCAATGCAAATATGGCTCAATATGGCTGAATGTAAATATTGTATGAAGGTGGAAACTTGTTCGCTGACAGCTGTGATTCCACATTAGCTTAACTATGTCAACTAAAATGTAAGGCATGACCCATCATTTAGGCTATATGTTAAATGTTTGCCAATGTTTGCCAATGTCTGCTAATGAGAGTGCCAGCCAACTACAGTACAGAAGCTTTTTGTATGCTAGACAAATATTTGATGGCTGGTACTCTCTGTGAGAGTTTGACTTGATACTTGCTTACTTTTGTGTGGCATTAACCGCACTGTTGAAACCTGTGCATACACTTTTAATTATTGAATGTTACAAATGAATAAATAAATAAAACAATGAATGAATGCCCAAATAAAACAACTTATTTTATGAAAACCACTTTCTCTGAACATACTGTAAATACAGGTCAATGAGAACAGCTGTGTTGTGTAATTTTCCCACTTATATTTTAGAATAATCAACAATTAATTAGTCCATCACTCAGTACTTTTTTTTTACCAATCATATTAGATTTCTTTAGGGAATAGCATAGTTGGATAAACAACATGGGCATAAATTATTATCTGAATGACATAGTCCGTACCTTGTTGTAGAGTTTCAAAATACAGTTGTTACGTGTTATCTTTAATGAAGCATATTGAGGTGCCACTGAGGTTACTTCTTAAAAGTTAGCATTTTAGCATGAGATGTCATCTGCTAATTGTTTAGTTTAGTTTTGCATTTGACCTCAAAATTGATCTACAGCCATACCAACCACATTAAAATATTAGTGGATGAAGTACCTGAAAGCCATAGATATCTTATCAGAAAATAACTTTGGTAGAGGGTAAAGTCAGCTATTACAATATTACCTGAAAAAAGAGTCTTTTCTGTCTTAGTGAGGTTCTTGGCATTAGGATGTTCCCCTACATGGGCGGAAATGGTACAAAACAACACAAAACATAGACATTAGAATTCTATTTTCAAAACAGATTTATCTCTACATTTCTTGTAGTAAATTTGTAACAACTTAAAAATCAAATAATCCTTATCATAGGGAGTGTAGAAATAAGGCAGAACAAACATTCAACAACATAAAACTATAACATCAGTTCCACATATTTGATCTTTTCCACCATCAGGACACCTTATTCAGCCATGTAAGAGGCTTGTTTAGATGAGCTGCACCTTGCTTTAAAAGAGGACAGGATCAGGCAGCAGGGGCAAAGAGCTGCAGTCAAGTTGGACAGTTTCCAGCTTCTCTTAATGGGGAGTGGAACAGCAGTTCTGCAGCTCTGCTCTGCTCTCTGCTTTGCTCACATTTTAGAGAATGTAATTTATATCATCCTCATGGTTTCACCCAGCTTTCTGTCTGACTACTACTTGCTTTAAATAGCTGTAAAATGCTGCCTACTACCTGACTACTACCCACTACTACTACCTGACCATTAGTTATTTTGACCCACTTTCAGTGTTATTTGTACCATGGGTTGTTTAGCCATACCAAGATGTGTTAATGTTATATTTACATTGCTGCTGGCATTTAAATCAAACCAAAAGAGGTATTAACTTTTACCCAGTGTAATCCTACCCTTTAGCCTTATATTGGGTCATAAATCAAACCAGAAGAAGTGCTTACTTCTACCCAGTGTGATGTTACATTTTAACCATATATTGAGTCAGAATTACACGGCCCAGTATTTTTTAGTGTGTAGCTGAGGCGTTAAACCTTTTCCTTTTGCGCACATTTCTTGATAGTTTCTGTCAGTTGTCTGTCTTCTTGTTTGTTTACTTTTCTTTACAAAGCTTTTTGCAGCTCCTTTACCTCATGACTATTTTTTCACAAAGCTTCCTAGTACAATGATTTGCTCCTAGTGATGTAATTCTAAGAAAAAAAGAGTTTCTTAAGCAGAGAAAATGGTGAAACTGGTGGAAACACAAAGAGGTTGGAGAAATATTCTGCTAATGCTGGATGACAGTGAGTAAATGAAATACTACAGATGAGATCGTACAGAGATAATATGCACGGTTGATGTCATTAGGGATATACGCACACATTTCCCACCTAATGCTATAAATAAATGATCACAATATTAAAATATTAAGAAAACTGTAAAAATGCAACAGTGTAGCAGTGATGACTTAGGTCTGTCTCAGCCTTCCATCAGCAGAGTGATCACACTAATAATGAGATCACTTTCACAGTCAGCAGTCCATCTCATGTCCACACATTGTAGGCTCACAAATGGGTGTGTCTGTGACAACCAATCACATCTGTTTACATACCTAGTAACAGATTCAACCACACCCCCTCACTATGATATAAGTTTCTGTCCTTCCTTGCTCAGAGTTGCTCTGAGAACTTTCCTAAATCACTAATTCTCTGGAAATATTCTCTGAATGTTTGTGAATACGGCCCCTGATGTTGTCTAACAAATCAATAGAAATCTATCCTGAAAAGTGCCATGTAAAATGTCACAAATCATTGGTAAAACAAAGGTGACTTTTATTTGGACACTTCCAATTAATTAATTTTAATTGATGGCTAAACTATTGATAAAATGAATGAGAGTCTGAGAGTCATGAATTAAAGTCTGAGATCTGAGGCTACCACCTTATTAGTATGGTAACAGCATACTGACAGTTCATCTAAGCCTTACAATGTCCAGTTATGCATGCTATTTGTGTTTACATACTGTATAAACTATTTAAAGATGAATGCTAACATACTTTGCAACAATAGTAATACATTTATTA